ATTTAGCACTTCACAAATATCAGAGCAAAATTAATGCTTATGCGTGGATCATCTGCAAGTAACCAGAAGAGCTCTTAGGAATGACCCCTAGCGATGTTCCCGGCTCTTTCAAAGCAGGCTGTCAGATTTGTCCTGAGGGGCCACGGCCATGACCTGTGCCTCTGAAACAGCCCTGACCATCAGCGGCCTCAGCCCACTCCTCAGGGCAAGAGTCACTGATGTCTCATGTGGCTGCCCGAGGGAGCTTCAGCAAAAAGACTTTGCAAGACAGAGTAGAGGCTGAGCATATTAACCTCTACTGCCTAAAATGCTGAGTTCCTCTACCAACTGTTTTCGAGCTGTCTTGTACTTTTTCTCTGTATGAATGCTCACCGTATCTTCTGTAAGTGGTAAGTGGTGGGTTGCTGTATGTCACTTCTATAGCTGATGGAATTTACTTGTTTAAACAGAATGCTGCACCTGGGAAAGTTAGGATTCTAGTAAAAGTTAGGATTCTAGAGAATGTGAGAGAGAGAAAAAAAAAGCAACTTTCCAAATGTAAAAACGAATGGCTAAGTTGGAGCAAGAAATTAAAAATGAGAATTTTAAGTTACATATTAGGAAGAATCTTCTGGTAAGCTGTGCAACAGTTTCATGTGAAAAGTGTTAGAGCTCCGTTATCACACACCTTTGCAGCTAAAGCAAAAAAAAAACAAAACAAACAAACAAAAAAAACAAAAAAAGAACATTATTTCCAATCCTACATCAGTAGTGATGGCACAGCAGCAGCGTAAAGGATTGAATGAATACTTAAGTATTTACCATCTGTAATCATAATGATTCACTTTATTTTTGCAGTCTCAGCATGCAACAGTGTTTTCCTAAAGCCTCTTCCTAGAGTAAAAACTTTCATATATAAGCTTCTACTTCATAATAAGGAATGCCAGAAAGGTTTGAAAGAAAGTAGTCTTATTTCATGGTACAGTAAACTTTATAAGAGAGCCTACCAATAAGGAAGAATTTGATTTACACTTTTGTATTGTGAGAGTTTGCTCTTAATTGGAACTACTATTCCTTTGATTCAATGTATCAGGCTGAACAAAAATTGATACTAGGTTGAATCCATCAAGCCAAGCATCTCAATTGACAAGATTTTCTGCTTGGAAATCGGTCTTCTTTACCAATCATGTTAATCATGGAGTAATTCCACTGAGAAAATAAATATTTATGTATTTAGATATGTGTATCAGGGATAATAGCCACTGAGGCATAAATGGGGATGGGGGAAAAAAGGCTGTGCAATAGATTTAAGGTTTTCCAAAACACAAAAGCATGAGAATAAGCTATTGGCCAGTCTGACAGCACATCCAGCCAGAATTCCGAGAGCAGCAAAAAGAAAAGATTATTTTGAGTGAGAATAAGAGCCCAGCCACCTGCTGTCCTTTGTGCAAACTCCCAGTAGCAGGAGGTCTAGTAGGAAAATTATCAGAGGATCCTCTGGTATCTACTTACAGCCTTGCTGTTTGTGAATTTGTCTAATCCTTTATGAAAACTTCTAATTGAGATTATCTAACCACATAACTTTGGGGTAGCAAACTTAGAACAGCCTTATCACCTGTTAAAAGAAGTATTCTCTTATGTGTTCTCTTATGTTCTCATTCAGTCTCCAATATACTCATTCAGTGCCCTCTTCTTACATACTAGATTTGGTGAACAGTTCTGCAGTTTAGCCACTATGTTTGTGATTTTAAAGACCCATCTCTTTCCTCCATCCTTTTCTTCTACAAATATAAAGAGTTTCTGCTTTTTCATAATGCAGCTGCTCCCTTTCCTTGATTATTTTTGTTGTCTTTCTTAGTAGCTTCTATAAATTCTAGATTAATGTTTCCTTAAATGCGAATCAGCTAGATAAACTATGACTCCTCACTCCTCAAGCTGTGCTTCTCCAGCTTTTCTTTTTAGTTTTTCCAGATGACAGATTACTGTTGTAATTAATTTTTTTAATACACCTCTACAGCTTTTTGTTTTCAGTTTCTTTTTTTTTCCCCTTGTTAAAATTCGGTATAAAATGTGAAGTCATTTCCTACTAGAAGACTAAGTTGACACATGGGAGGAAAATAAACACTTGAGAAGTTATTTTGAATATTCATACAAATTCTGTCTTTTGAAAAGCATTGTATATAAACAAATTGTTACACTGCATTCAGCTACAAAGTTCATTGATAAAAAAGCACACTCCAATAAAGATTACATACTTTTTTTGGATATGGTCCAAATGCTCGCAGTCTTAAAGACTGTGCTGTGTATGTAGGCACAAGTAGTTCAAATTCAGGGTAAGTGTTGCATTTGCAAAGTGGACATAAAATGGGACAAAGATTCCTTATTTAGTCACAGAATTATAATTTGTATTGGAAGGGTCCTCTCAGGGCCATCTAGTCACTCACTGAAAGCAAGACCAACCAAATCAGGTTGCTCAAGGAAGTGACTAATCAAGGTTCGAATACCTGTCTCCAAGAACAGAGATTCCACGAGCTTTCCAGACAATCCATTTCAATGATTAAAAATCTCCAAAGTCAATATTGTTCCTAATATCCAATCACAGTTTTCTTGTTTTCCAGCTTGTATCCATTGTCCCTTGCCTCACCAGCATTTCTGTCTCTGAGAAGAGTCTGATTCCATCTTCGCCCTTTCATGAGGCAGCTGTAAAATCTTCCCTTAGCCTTTGCTTCAGGCTGAAGGGACCCAGTTTCCTCAGCCTCTCCTTTAACATCAGGTGCCCCAGCCCCCAACCATCTCTCTAGACCTTTGCTGCGTTATAGCAGTGTCTTTCTGTTACTTGTGAATGCAGAACAAGACATAGTCCATAAGATGCATCTTCACAAGTACTGAGTAGGAAAATATTCATCTCAACTTGCTGACCACTCTCTTAAAGTGGTCCAGGATGTTTCTTTGCTACAAGGCACATCATTGCTGGCTCAAGTTCACTTGCTGAACAGCAGGACCCTCAGATCCCTCCCACAACGCTGCTTTTCAGACAGCTGGCCTCAAGCCGTACGGGTGCTTGGGGTTATCCATCAACAGACCCATTTCTGTTTATTGAGCTCCATACCCATACAGCAGCCCATCAGACATTCCTCAGAAAGGACTATCTCAGAATATATGTCCTGCAGTTTCCTGGAGAAGCCTGGAAACCTCTGTCATAAGTGATAGGTCTCTGTTAGTTGTTCCGTTCTCTACGCTTGCAGTCCTTGTGATGCGTGATTATGATATATTATTTGTTTTCCTTTCCTTAGATAACCCTCTTCTTTATTCTTTCAAATCCTGTATGTGCATGCCTGACCTTAGACTAACTACTGTCTGAATCATTTATTTTCATTCTGTATTTTGTACATCTTCACAAAGGCTACATCTAAGGTCCAAGGTTATTAATAGAAAATAGGTATAATCTGAGAATTTATATGTGTATTTCTTACATCGATAATCATTGCACGCATATGATTACAGTTGTTCCAATACTGTAAAGCAGGCAGATGTTTTCATTCTCATTGCTATGTTTGTGATTGCACATGTCAAAATGCTCTCTAACAAAATGAGGTGTGATATTTTGTTCATCCACCATGGAGAGAGTAATGAAAAATAGTCACACGCTCTGTATTTCAAAAATAAAAATAACCTGAAATATTAATATATAAGAATGTGGTATTAACAGTTTAATCATAGTAATAAGAAATCTGTTGATAAAACTGAGATATTCAGCATCCTTAAAGGCTAATGGGGGACTCTGAAGTTTTTATAGGAGGTTTGAATTTGTATGTGCATGTGCGCATGTGTAATACACACGCACACGCTTCTATATATACTAATATCCACATATGTTCACGTATGCTATTTTTGAGCATGTATACTATGATTTAGTAATAGTGCTGGCTGTGAAAATCACTTCTACACTTCCTATTTCAATACCTTTCAAGCTATTTATACATATAAGAAGAAATAGCTTTTACATAGTATTAAATCACTTACATAAAAACATATATTTTTAACAGGAACATAGTAATTTTAACTACTTGCTTTTTCTACACATTACAAACAAATATTTTTGTTCAAATATGTGCTTGATCCATTTACTATTACAGTATATATTGCAAACTTGACATGGCAGAACAATATTTAATGCAATGTAAGTAAAATAGGAATGGAAAAAACTGCAAAGGAAAAAGTGCTATCATCTCATCATGCTTTAGTTCATATTTTCCAATCAGATGATGACTGGTCAACCCACAGTAAAGATATAACAAGAAAAATGTCAACAATAGTCATGCTATACTGGCATTATGTATTTAAGTTAGCTAGCTATATTAAAAGATATTACTTTCCAATATTTAGAAGGTGGCCTACAGTACATTCCAGCTCTGTACGGAAAGAAAACAACCCATGGAAGTATATAAATTTGTGTATTTATAAGATGTTGTATTTATGTCATTTGAAGACAAAAAAAAATAAATTGAGCTATTACTGATAACTTTGATTCAACTATTAATAATTTATCTAAAGTTCTTCACTGAAAGTAACCCTACATCTATGGTGTGAATTCTCTCTTATGTTTTCTTTAATGTATCATAAAAAAATTCAAAAATCACCTTTGCATGTACAAAAGAAGGAAATATAATTGTTCTACATTCACATAAAGAAAGAGAAAATTAACTTTCGAAAAGATTTGAAAATGCAAAATTCCTCAAAGATTCTGGTGTGAATACTTCAATACTTCTGAAAGTTTTGTTTCATTTCTACAGCTCTTCATCGGTTTGCAAAGCAGGTCTTCTGGCACCCGAGCTATGTTTTGCAAAACGATTCTGATGACACTGTTCACATAATTATATAGTTCATTTAAAGACTACCCACTCAGTCCTTTTTTTCTTTTTTTTTTTATGTAAAACAAATTTGTCTACCTAGGTGCAAACATATGAAGAACTATTTATATTTCTTTCATACCACATAACATTTTTCACCTAACTTCTTACCTGGCAAACAGCTACAGTAAAATTCACCAATCAAATCATGGCAACGGCCTCCATTTTTGCAGGGCTTGAAGGCACATTCATCAATGTCTGTGGAACAGTTTTTGTCTGTCACAAAAGAAAATGAAACATTAAAACTATAAATCATATTGGATTTGGGAAAGTAGAAAAGCTACTTCATAGTACAAGTGACAGCTACATAATTTAACTTTTCCATGTTGGAAACACTATTTTATTTATTCTTGACAGCTCTAAAACTAGAGATTTTCATAGATCATAACTGATAGTTAACAAATTAAATATTTCAAAGGGATAAATATCAGCAGTATTTATAGATATACTCTTTGTGTATTCTAGCATTTCATCTCAACACCACAATTACTGAATTATATACCACATTAAAAATTCTGTTTTAGATATTTAATAACCTAGTAACAGTCACAAGAAAATAGTTGTCAAAATGGCTTCCATGCTTAGATGAATAAAGACACTTTTAAAATGTCAGATGAGAATACTCAAAAACTCAATCAACTATCTGTTTATTTTCCACTTTTAAAGAGGTTTAAATGAGCTAAAATTCAAATTAATAACAATTCCAAAACAACAACAATAAAGTAGAATATATAAAGAGAACATTTTGAAGACAATATAATAGATGGCTTATGAAAACATTGAACTTATCAGATATGCCAAGGAAAACCCACAATCCCTCATCCATCTGTTGTGCACTGCATTAATCTAAAGCAAGCTTGTTATAAATTATAGTAGCATCTTTCTGTTCCCAGATTGTTCCAAACTCAAGGGATAAATATACAACTAAAGAGCTATATTGAACAAGAGAAGCTACTCCGCTGTCAGATATGAGAAAGCTAGAGCTATCACCGATGTGAACAAGTAAAATGTAGGTGGGAATTCTATCCAAAAAGTGATGGAAAGATCTTTGTATCACTCAAATTGGAAAGATTAAATAGGTAATGCCACTCAGGTTTCTCAATCTGAAGAAGTATTGAAAAATTTAATCCATGGACTAGTAGCATATGCAACAAGCTCTGTAGGAACTACTTGTGCTCTTGGGAACAACTTGGGAACAACACTGTGGGAGTAGGAATTACAGGACCAGGTGGTGTTTCTGAGGTTCTCCTTGGAGCACCAGAGTTCAGACAATGCAAGATTCTTTCCAAAGACAAATGCATGGCTTGCAGATGGTACCACCAGATGGTTTTGCCTTCTCTAACCACCAAGTGATGTTCTCTGAGATAACCGGTAGAAATGGAATATACAATAAAAAAAAATAAAGTGCAGGAAAGAAAGCAGTGGGAAAACAGAAGAGAACTTAAAAAAATCCTCTTTTTTTGTCTAAATTAAAAATTTAGGAAAAGCATTAAGGGGAAGCTCATAGATATACATAGATAAGGAAAATGATAGAATCTATATAATGACTTAAAACGTATGCAGGATATTTTGCACACTCACAGAGATAATAACATGAGCAACATGCTGTATTTAATGGTTCACTACAATTTTTCTGAGATTTAATCCTAATCAAAATGGTGGAGTAACATCTGATATGATGAAACAATGACAGAAACCTAGGTGAGAGTCATTATGAAATATTAGTAATCAAGATCTAGAAGAAAGGAAGGGACAAAGCAGGTGAGTAACTTAAAAAAAAATCAGAAAATGTATCACAAAAAAAGTTAAAAATTAGTGAGATGAAACCTTCTGAGAGGCTGAACTAAAATGATTCACCCAGCTCAAATTTTTGTCATTCAGCTGAGAAAACTGTGAGATTAAACAGTTATTTCCTACTTCCCAGAGTCTCATAGGCTATAGGCGAATGTGAAAAACCCTTACCCTGTTATTTCAACACTGGACTTTAAACAGATTCTGCATTTCCACTCTCAATTCTTTTCCTGTATATATTTCCTAAATATATTTCCTGTATGTCCCATACTGAAAGTCTCTTCTGGTCACCTGCAGCAGGCAGATACAAGTGAGGAAAAAGATGCATGTGCTACAGATCCTGAACTGTAGCTGAACTGTATACGAGGAAACAATAAAGTGATTCAGAAAGGACTGCTGAGGATTAACTCAGTAAATGAGCTACAGTGTGATGCTGCAACAAAAAGAAAGAAAAAATCCTCAGATGTGTTAAAAAAGTAGGAGAAAAGAATATTTATGTGTAAGGGTCATTTTTTCTCTGTAAGAAACAGGTTAGCATGTTTAACACAGTGCTAAGTCTTGTATATTTAAAACTAGGTTGAAGGATGTGAAGAAGCTACACAATTTATTCAATAGCTGAAGAAAGTATGCTGTCGGCAAAGGCTTAAAGAGCTCCATCTGTTTGATTTAGAACAAACAAACCCAAAAAAGTGACTTGATTACAGTGTGTAAGTGTTTATACAAGGAGAAAATACTTAGTAACAGGCTTTTTCATTTTGTGGAGAAAAGGTAATGAGACCCAATAGCTCAAAGCCAAAGACAAAATTTTAAAGAAGATATTTAACATAAACTTTTAAAATTCATGGCGATTATTACTATAAAAAATGCTACTGACATTCTGGCTTCTCTTCAGATCAGCACTGAATACATTTGGATTCAATGTGTGGTTTAATCACAGCTAAGTAATTAGGTTCAGTACAAACCAGTTAACGGGCAACATTAACTTCCTCATGGTATAGAGAAATAATCTAGTCTGTGCAAACAATAATCTACAGGTTGATACATAGCCGGTAGTGTTCTGTGAGTAGTTTCCTTTCCTGGAAGCAACTGACCACCCCAAGAGAGATGGGTCCTGAAGCATCTGCATCCCCAGGTAAGATGCATGTTCTCAGCCAGGACACATATGCTGGAATGTCCCTGGAAAACTACCCGTCAATCAGGCAGCACTCCTTGCAGCAGACCTCCAGGTAAGTGAAGTAAATCCGGCTATGGGCTGAGTTCCTCATTACCACCATCGTGGTCCCGTAGCCCATATGTAGAGCGTTGCCACTTCTCAAATCTGACCACAGGTTCTGCACTGAGCTAACTATAGTGGCCTTGGGAGCTGTCTCAGCTTACCTCAAGTTTCATTTTAGTTTGCTGATCTGTAATGACAGTTGCCTAACAGCCGGGTGGATATTGCCTCATTTGTTCTCAGGCAAATTTGAGGAATAAAAAACTTAGCTTTGTACAGCTCTGTGACACAATGCTTGCTGTTAATAATATTGATGTAGGTCGGAATAGCAAGGAGATAAGCTGTAGAAAATGAACTACATGTGACCCTAGATTAAGGACGCAGTGCAAAGCAGAGAGGACAGTGGCTCTGAGGTGTGTGTATACAATGTTACTGAGGACTTCAAGGCTACTAAGAATTTTCAGCCACATTTTCCAGAGTCCTGCATTTGTGCTTTAATCAAAACATGAGCTTTTCTAGGACTTCCTAGCAACCTACAATATTTTTTTTTCTATTGAAAAATAAGCCTATTCACTTTAAATGATTGGATTCCTATTTATCTAAAATAAATTAAATACCTTGTCATGCACAGAAAGATATTACTACATGTTCTAAATACATTATACTACGCATGACAATTGGCATCACTATTGAGGCAAAAATATATCTAAAATAAAGGGGATAATCTGAAATACAAAAATAATCTCCTAACACCTCTGGTAGAGCAATGATAAAGTAAATCCCATATAAACTAATTAAATTTTGATTGAAGAATTAACATATCTTTTTCTCACATGATTCCAACTGCTGCTATTTGCTATAACTGTAAGTTTAACAAGTCATGCTTAGCATTTGCAGATGAGATATCAAAGAGATGTGCCATTTGTTTTCTTATATAAAAGAAACACTTTGGTTAATTTCTAGCTGACAGGAAAAACATTGTTGTTGAACCATAATTGATTTGTTTTTCTTTCATGCAATTCAGTACTTTTTGTGTGTTACTTTAACAAAGTTTTTACTTTATGTAGTTTAGAGCATGATGAAATCAGACTTTCCTGCATTCCACTAATCTTTTCTCCCACTCTGTGTTCTGACCTGAATTCATCCCAAAGGAAGTGGGTGTACTTGAACAAGAAGCATGTACTTTAACGATGACAAACTTTCTCTACTAACCACGGGAATATACACTGAACACATTTCCACATCTGATTAAATCCTGTGTGTTTATGGGAATGTATAGTTTGTACGGCTAGTTGTGGGAAGTTGCTCCAGGCTCCCAGTCTTCCAGAGAGCCTCTGAAAGCCAACAGCCAAAGAGGGGAGTGCAGCAGTGGCAGGGGGAATGTCAGCCTGGCACCATGGGGAGTCAGAGTTGTCATCCAGGAGCCAGCAGAAAGCTCCTATCCCTGTTAATTCTCCTGTTTCCAGATTTTATGGTGGTTTGAAAAACGACAACTCTCTAACCTAGGGCTGGAAGCAGGAAAGTATTTTACATGAACTCAGTCCATAGCGGGCATATAGCAAAGAATATCAGGCTTCTGGCAGGCTTTTGGCCTGCTTCTGTGGGAACCAGGAATATTCAACAATAACCGATAAGTGAGATGATACATGCAAGGCTTGGTATATACATGACTGACTCGGAATATGGGCAAGCACCCATGTGTTTGTGACACTGATTCTTTCTTTTGATTCACTGAGGGCAGAGTTGGAGATGATTCACGTGGACTTGAAGATGAAGTGATGCAATGGTTTTAAATTGTGCAATGGTCGTGACATTAACTAAAAATGTCAAAAAATGCAGAAAATAGAGCAGCTGTAGCAGGTTAACTGAAAAGAAAACCTTAGAAAGCAAACACAGAAAGAGATTTTTGAAAACACTGAAGAGAGAAAGGCATCACCCTTTTCAGTTTGGCTCATGATGGGATGAGTGGAGCGAGTGGACAGTGCACAACCTTTTGTAATTGTGGGTTACAAATGCTCAGTGCTGCAGGGACCACTTGTTTACCTACAATAGCTTCTACACTATTCCCATAGCTCCTAAAAAAAAAAATACAGATTTTATCTTCAGGAAGCATATTAGGAAGGCTAGAAAGTGTATTTACGCTGCTGAGTAAAGTCTGCAGACTTATTTAAATCAACATATGACTGATGGTGTGTTTTGACAGTTGGTACATACTGTCTCATGATAATCACGAATGAGAGACAGCCGAAGTCCAAAATGAGGACCATGTTGCATATATTATATAAAACAAGACAAATAATTGATATGGCCCATGACTGAAATGAAGAAGTCAGATTAAGCATCTCATGCATATAAATTACAACAAACAAAAGTCCTATTGTAACCTGATGGAAACATAAAAATTGCTCTTAACTATGGCTGAAGGATACATACAACAAGTAAAATAAATAATAAACTTCCTGAATTATAAATATCAGTGCTATTCAGGAGGCAGTTAATAATGAAAATGGTTAGTAGCTTACACCTCATAAAAGTAGTATCCATCTGCATTATGGGCAAATTCCACACTAGCCTCCCTGACTTCATGTTTGATTCAAGGTATCTTCAAATACCTAAGGTCATAAAGCATTCGATATTAAAATTCCCTAGTTGTCCTATCTTCTGAATTACCAGAATCCAGATATGCCAAGTACCTAAACCTTGCTGGAGCTGTGAATATGGAGACTGTTTACCTACCCCAGGGGCCAGATGCTGTCAGTGACCAAACTGAACCACCATGGTGAGGCAACAAGGTGTTGCCAATCTGCCCCGTATCTCTCCACTCTTTGGGATTAGCAGAGCGGGCCCATGTGTGCTGGCTCCCACAAGAGGGCATTTGAGAGCAAGCTTTGACACAGTGCAGAAAGGAAGGCGAGTTTCTCTTGCCTTGCTCAGGAGCTGCTCCCCTCTCCTCGACCGGCTTGCTGACACACAGCAAGCTCCAGGCTCGGGCTCTGGAGGCTGAGGCACTTGTGATTTTCACCGCAAAGACTTCATGTGGCGGCAGAGGCCTCACTTGTCCGTGGGCACTCGTGTTGTCCTTGTGCTCCTACTGGCTACTCCATGGAGCAAGAGCTGCTCGCCTGCCGTGCAGCCCACACGAGCAGTGCCCAGGGGGGAAGAGGCCTCTTCAGCTCCAGGGCCACTCAGATGAGCAGCGCAGCCTGTTTGATACAGCAAGCATTTGTACACACTTTGTACAGGCACAAACGTTGATGTTACTCATGATCCTCAGGGGGCTGCAGGCTGGCGCTGCCGTGTCCATGCCAGGCTCTGGGCTGACCATGGCCTGAGTTGGGCTGCGCTGGTTGGAGCCTGAGCTGGGGCCCGGGGCTGCTGCCTGCCCTGACCCAGCCCCAGCTCCAGCTAGAGCAATTCTGCTGGTATTTTTAATGAGGCTTTTCTGTATTAACAACATAATATGGGTTACTTGACTGCTTTAACATTAACTGGACTAACAATATGTTCTTCTATATATAGCATATTTCTTTTTGTCCTTACAAAGATTCTGCACACTGTCATTGTGGCAAACATCCTCCCTGGATGTCTACACCAGAAGCAGGAACGTGAATAATATCATAGGTGAGCAGTCAAATAAAATTCGACCAGCTGCAAGGTATTGAAGTCTTCAGTCAATCCTATATCAAATCAGCATATTGTAGGTTCTGCTCTTTTGTCATTGATTCCTTTTCTTGGAAGATATAAGCTCAAATAGTCAGTATTTGCCATCAGATACCTTTTTTTCGTGAAAGGATGAAGCAGTTGTTGCAAGGACTTGACAGAGTGGACTTGATATCCACAGTGGTTGTGCATATATTATCAAAGAAAATGAGCACAGATTAAAGTGTTCAATATAATTAGGAAGACTCCTATTCCTACTTCCAGTTTGAACATTTTTTGTCTGATCAACTTAATCACTGTACTGACTTACTCGTTTTCTTGTGGGAGCTCTCTTGTCTCAGAGAAAAAAAATAAGCGATATGAAGTGAGATCAATAGCATCTGAATTGTGAAAACTCCCTCATGCAGAGGAAGAAAAAAAAAGCAGAAAATGCAAGAAATGGAGCTCTTTCTTAATAATGTGTTATTTTCCAGTCATATGATTGCTTCTACGGCTTCCATGTGGGCCTCAAGGTGTCCATTAAAATCTGCCCATAAGTCACTGGTACTCTTACTTTATTGTTCCCTGAGCCTGACACCTTTCGTAAGAGTTTAAGTTAATTCTTTTAAAAGTTTATTAAAGATGCTTCTGTTAATATGAACAAATACTTTGTGATCACCTCCATTATTTTCATGATTAACACAAACTAGACATACACTATATAAACTCATGACAGCAAAACCGGTTATCAAAGAAAAAATAAAAGAATATGATCTTATAGAAAATACAGCACATCTCAATTTTGCAGTATTTAATAATATTAGAATATGTTGGCAAGAATCAAGCCAGATCCCATACATCTGTGTAACTATTATCACTTTTACAGATTCTAAAGTTTTGTGTATCATCTTACATTATCTATGTCCCATTTGCCTATTTTAATCATTGACAAAACACATATGAAGTGCTCCAAAAGCAGCTATGACTGGCCATAGTATCTATCTGAAATGCTTTATTTTCTTCTAACTTATTTTTGCCTCCTACTCTTTCACCACTCCACCTACTTCTTTCATACCTTCCATTCCTCCTTTATTTTTTTTTTCTTCTTGCTCCACTGGTCACCACTGATTTTGAGCTATCTGTACATACATACATAGGTTTGGGTGCCTACACAATGCCCACTTACCTTGGACGATTTCTGAAACTGCCCAGCAAATGGTGAATAATTAAGAATTTTTGTCTTTGTGTTACCTCTCACGACTAATGCTGTTCCATTTGCCTCTTTGGAACAGCATCTGAAAGTCAGTACGTTCCAGTCCCTGGCATCACAGCGTGTTAGCTGTTAAGATGACATATTTTTTGAGACAGTTTTATTGATTTCCCCATGAACCCATTAGCTGCTTCTGGCATAGAGTACTGTCATGAAGACTTGCTCCTGATGCAAGAGCAATTCTCTTGACCTGTTAGTCACACAAATAATTGTGCAATTTACAAGCTATTTATCATAAGGATGTACTGGCATCTTTTTGGAAGAGAACAAAGTGTGCTGTTGCTAACATTGTATTCTCATTTCTATCAGAATCACAAGAAAAAAAAATGTGGTATAAAGAAAAAAACCCAACTACAACTATCATTGTTCACCTAGGAAAATTATGAGATATTTTCAGAAACTGGATATTTCCTGAACATTTTTATATGCAAAATGTAGTTTTTTTTTCTGTAAATTAATCAAACAGAATACACACTACTGTCAGTTTCTATCATATGAGTAAGGAAATTAAAGCAGATTATCACAGAACACCGAAATGAAGTGCATTTATTTTTATCAACACTAAAACATCAAACAAAATACAGTCAAGAAAAGTTTGTTTGCTTTAATTTCAGAAAAGTAAATAAAATTTTAACTTTCTAGTGTCCTATTCAGATTTAAAAAAAAAAATCTTACCAGTAAATCCTGGAGGACAAATACAACTGTAGTCTGCAACCAGGTCTAAACAAGTTGAATTGCTTTTACAAAAGCCATAAGTGCATTCATCAAAGTTGATTTCACAGTTCACCCCTTCAAATCCTCGGTTGGAAACAGAAAAAATGGAAACAAAAAAAAAAAAAAAAAAAAAGAGAGAACTCTGCATTATTCAAGTATACCCATACCTTCCTTTCTATAGCATGGGTTTGGGTCTTTTTTTCCTTTTTTCTAAATAAAAAAAAATGTTATTAATTTACTTATGTAAGAAAACTATCTTTAAGTTTTATCATTCTAAAAGCTTTTTTTTGTTCTATAAATAAAAGAGTACATCTCACCATCAAATATAATTTTAAAGGAGCTAATAATTGAAAGAAGAAACTCAGTAATAAGTAATCAGCAAAAAAGTTGAAGCTTTTGTTCAGCAGAGACTATGCATCAATATATCTAAGAACCTATGTATGTTTTGGTACTGTATGCATTTTGAGAACTTTACAGAAGAACATAATTTGTGTTTGGATTTATTCGTCTGATTACAGTTTTAAAAATCAACTCTGAAGCAGTTTCTTCTCCATTTTTTCTCTATGTGTTTCTCTCATAATAGTGATTTTCAGCAAACTAAGGAGTACAAAAGGTTTATCATGCTTGAGATTGCTGAAGAATGACCATTCCAGTATCTGACATTTTATGCTCTTGTAAATATATTCTAATTCATGGTCACACTACAAAATGACTATCATTAGCGCTGTCACAGGCCATGGCTGCAGGAAGACCATGACTAATGTTAAGCTATCAGCACCCTCAGTGCAAGGCATATTCTCATGATTTCTCAAACTGACCATGGAACGAATTCCCATTGATCCCCAAGTCATAAAACTTTGGAATTACCCTGAGTTCATTAATAATGTATATGGTAACAGTTCTCATTTGGAATCAGAGTTCAATCAGACCCATGTCTCACAGGTAACAAGTAAACCACAAAATTATCAATGCGGATGCCAAGATTTATTTTCCTAACTCAAATGATATAAGATAATCAGGCAGAGTAAACAGCAGAATCTTTTCCAAGCTTAATTTTCATCTGTCTTCCACTACCTGGCTTGGCTTTTAATTTAAACTAGCTAATGATGGAGGCTACACTTGTATGAGTTACTTGTAGCCATTTGCTCTTTAATGATGAGTTTCATAAGATATCATAATCATTAGAATACTTGTACTGATATATAAAATATTATAAGCCATGAAATGAACACACCATTCATCTATACATACAAAATAATATGGTTTAAGATTAAAAACAACGGAGTATAAGAAAGTTTAAAATGTAGAAACAAACTACTGGATTATAAACCACAATCTTGACGTCTCTTTTTTTACTAAAAAGAGTTAAAAGAATCATAAAAAAAAATTCAGAAAGAACCCATTCGTGAAAGTATCTATCTCACAAAAATACTAAGTTTAAATCATTTAAAGCACTTCAGCTTTTCCCTGAACTACTTTTTCCTTGAGACCAAGGAAAAACAAGCGCTTTCCTCGCTCATTCAGGCATTGTTAAAATCATGAGTACTTTGTCAGTTAAAAGAAGCACTTACAAACATATCTGTCTCCATTCTTTATGAGAATGTTTGGTTTATTGGGTGCCTTGATGGACAAAGATGTAAATGAGACTTCAGAAAGAATAATTTATTTTCTTAAAAGAGAAGTTTTAACAATGGTTTTGAAGACTGTCATGAAGATGTTTTGCAGACTGCAGGCAATTTTGCAAATTGTCACAAATAATAAAAAATAAATTATTTTGAACAACTTACCTTCAGGGCAAAAACAAACATAGCTGTTGACATCATTCTGACAGACAGCACCATTCAAGCAGGGAGATGCATCACATTCATTCTTTTCTATTTCACAGTACTGGCCTGAAAAACCTACAAAAACAAACAAACAAACAAAAACAAGATAATCTTTGGTTTTATTTATCTTTTTATTTATCTTTCTGTGTGCTACAAACATGAAACTTTTATTCAAAAATATCTTTTGTAATTAACACCAAGAGATAGTAGAATAGAGTCCACTGCGCATGGCAACTGGAAGTCAAAATTCCTGTATTTGATTAATAAAAAATATATTTTACACATTTCTTATTTCATATTAAAAATTCATATCTTTATCCCTGGAATAGCATTAGCACCATTTTCAATAATACTGCAAAAAAATTAACTGATGATAGAAATACATTCAGTTCACTTGGCCTTAAGAATATACTGTTTTTTGAAATCCAGAAACTAGGAAGACATTCATAGCTGTATACCAATAATATGCATCTTTTCAAGCATGCTGCTTGTATTAGAGGCACTTTAGTATCTTCTGGCACCTTTTTGAATTTTGCTATGTTAATATAAGAGACAGTGCATCAGTTGTATCTGTTCCATTGTCTGGTGCTTTCAAGTGTGGAGTGGAGGAGTATATGCAATACAGCACCTCAGATCTTCATCTTGTGTAAGTTATATAGCTCAAATAATACACATGAGGATGCTCTATGTTATTAAAAGAAATAAAATAGACACAATTAAAAAAAATCAAAGAAAACCTACAAGAGCCAACCTGAATTTCTCATTTTTAGATGTACTTTGACATGTAGCTTTGTTTCAAATATTGTTACTGCTCTTTGCACTAGAGTGGCGTTAGAACATGCCATCGAGGAATGCCACTCAATACAGTTGCTGGTCCTGCTCAAGGCATAACTTTTAAAGCATTGTGTCAATAATGGGTAGAACTAGATTAGTAAACCATGCATACTTCAAAACCTTATATATATATATAAAATTTGTACATTGAATTCTGCAGTTAATTTTTAACATATGGCTGATATAAACTCAGTGACTACAAGCAAGCTGTTTCACAGTTTGTTGACGAGAAGAAAGTAAATCATATCTTCATCGTTACTAAAATTGAAAAAAAAAAGTATAAAATGAAAGTGTTCCTATCCAAATGTTTTTCTTCTTTTCCTATATTCAGTATACTTCCATACACCTTACAGTAATTTTTCAAGTGGAGAAAAAGCATTCTTTTTATATTAGGTTCTCAGGACAGGAACTATGAAAAATATTTAATGAAGGCATGCCCCACACTTCTAAACAGATGTCTACTTATGTAAAGCAAAAAAAAAGACCACTTTATGTGTTTTCTGTAAAAAAGAAAAAGAAACAAGTCAATAAATTAAAACAATTCTATATGTTAGGAAAGATGAATTATTTTATGTCTCTTTTTCCTATTAATTATGTTCATTTTTAATGTCTCTAGAATCTTATTTTATTTAGAAAATAAATTCAAAATCCTTCAGAATCATGATGAAATGTCAATCTATGATGTATTTGTGAATTCCACAAAATATAATTTGTATTGAGTTGTTGTTGACGGTTTTGTCAGCAAAATAACAACAACTGGAGATAAATAATGGATTGTCCCAATGTGATCAATGTGTAAGTTCTTTTCTCTCTTTCTGGCAGAATTATTTATGAATTCTAATATAAGACTGGGGTCTGACACAAGGTATGCAGCACAACCTTCACAGAATACAAGTGAAGGTAAATATCAGACGTGCTTTTAAAGAAACAAGTTTTCAATCTTGTCTTACACTGAATAAACCCAAAATTTTTTAGAAGATACTATGCAATTACTACTGTTAAATTATTATCATTTTCATTGCATTAGAAATCCCCAAAGCCATAGTGCGAGATACAGATTTAAAGCACACCTAACAGATGCAGCAGTCTGGACTCTGCTTAGAACTTGTGAGGACCTTATTGGAAGTTTGTCTTCTGACATTTCTATAATACTACATTTTAAATGTAGCTCTTAAGTATTTAGGATCAAAAATAAATAAGATCTGAAATACCTGAATGAAACTTTGCTCCCAGGAGAAGATACTGCCTGAGAGCAAGTTTAAGACTGTTAACCCTTCATAGAGGCTCAAATACATATCCACACCCATTACATTTTGATTAAATGTAAACAAGCTTTCTCAAACACAGCTCACTCTAAATGCCTTGTTTCAACACTGGCATACTGGTTAGTTTTTCTGAAGAGTGAAAAAATCTATAGCAGAATTGTCTGCCATATGAACTGCCAAGCTACAGGGGCCACCATGTAGATACTTGCAACATGGACCATAAGAAAAATGCAAAGCTCCACTGTGAACAGAACTGCTTGTTCACTTAGAGTCCTGTAAAGACAAAACCATCTGTGACACCATCTACATAATCATGAACTGACATATAAAATACATCTGCTTCTATCCTAGCCTCTCTGTGGCCATTAGGATCCAGAACACCACTGGGTCCCCATGACCTTTACTGTTACCTCCCAGCTCCCTGTACTTATCTTTGATATACTCAAGGCAGTACTCTTCGCTGTACTGTTGCCACAACAGGGTTGGAAAAGGGATGAGAATCAAGGGTAGTTATGAATATGGAGGCCAGGCAAGCCTTGAAAGTCTCTGCATTGTGTCGTATTCAAGTCTTTGGTAAGCAACAGAAGTGTTCTGAGGCAGCAAGCCTGATGTGTCAGTCTGGCAACTAACACTCACCACTTTTCCTTAGTGTCAACACAAGGACTAGGCACAGCCAACCCAAATACTTTCCATTAAAGTATTTTGGCCTCATCTTCTATTACCTGGGCCCTAAGTCACAAGACAGCCTTCTTCTTTTTGCCAGAACTCATATGTCTCAGGCCACCTCCATAGTGGAGTCTCCAACCTGTACTGATTTTAATGTAGCCTCTATCAGTCCTTTATTCATTTCAACATGAATTTTGGGCTCTGACCTCTTCAAAGAAGCTTTTGATCTCCTGCATTTCCTCCTCGATACGCCATAACTGCCTTGATATGCTCAACTCCTTCCTCAGTCATCTTGTGCCTTCATCGCAGCACCTCTCCTTAGGCAAGGTTGCTGTAGCCCAGCCTCCAGTTTCAGGAAGGTGCAACACTCCTGGCAGCACCTGCTCTAATTCGTTCTTTAAAATGTCTAGTTACAAAGAGGATAGTGATTTGAAGCAGTTGTGGTAGTTTGACACTCACTGGCAGCTCTGTTGCCTCTTAATGTCAGGAGATCTCTGTGCCTCTACACCTACTGAAAATCACTGTGCAGGTACAGTGTCCTTGCTGTCCCTAAGTGCTGTGACATTGGACTTGTCATCTCTGATTGTGCTTCAAGAAGAAAATAACTCAGAAAGATTTTACCAAAGTGATCCTGGATAATGCTTTGTTGGGGACAGGGTCCACTGTCCCTATACAACATTGGCCTCTGTCTTCACTATTCCCACAGATTTTCTTTAAATTATGCTTCCTTAACTCAGTAAACCCTTCTGTCTTACTCACAGGGAATGTGGAAAACAACTGATTTCTCTTTTTAGCTTTTTAAATATTTTAAGTATTTTAACTTTCATGATTGCTGTTTCCCAGCAGGCTTCTGTCTGTATCTTAAAAAAAAAAAAAAAAAAAAAAAAGGAAATAAACATTTCTGTATTTCTTTATAGGTCTTGCTTATTAGATGGCTGATGGATCAGGCTCCTGTCTTTTCCCTATTCATGTATAACACAGCATTCCAACTCAGGCCATTATGTACAGTCTGTGCTTATATATTACACTTTTCAGAACAATTCTTATTTCTTTTGCAATTACATGATATTTGTGAATCAATGTGTCCAGCTCAAATCATTGTATGGCTCCCAAATGCCCCTTTGCAGAAAATCAATTTAAACAGTTGCTTCAGATGTTTAATCATATGACTTATTACTGCATATGTATAGTCTTCACATTTATTTCTATTTTTAGAAGATTTATGTTCTTCACAAAATTATTCAACTCATAAGAAAAAAAAGAAGTTATACATTCTCTGTAGCTGCCTGAAAGAGCCCAACGAAAGCCGACATTCTCTTGTGAAGTATTTTTCTGTAATTGTATGGTGCCGCTGACTGATGCCTTTTCAAGATCTTACAAAACACAGATCATATTGTGCTGAACTGAAGCCTTGCCAGTCATTGTCTAATTCATGATTGTATGGCTGATTATTTCTAAGAAGTGTTGTGTTTTCCATATTCTGTGCTGACCTACTTTTTATTTTAGGCAATTTCTTTCATTTTTTGTAACAACTTTGTATTTTGCTAGGAATAGAGCTTTGAAACACACAAAGTCAAACCCATTTAAACTCAAGCTAAAATTGGGAATCATATCTGAAATTGTTAAAATGTTTGATGATCTAATTGCTGAGAAATATGTGTCATATAATTACTTCAACTCTGTGGGGGAAAGAACAATAAAAGAAAATCAAAACAACCAAATATACCAATTTACAATATAGGGTCACAAGTGATTTTTTTTAGCCATGAACAAGTGAGTGCTTTTAAACCACTAATAATGATCACTGCCTGTAAACAAACACAACAGTGGTCAACACATGACCAATACATTCAATTTTCACTAGCTTGAGTCCACAGCATCTTAGGACAACAGGCCATGAACAGGTCTGTTAGCATCAGCATTTTTTTTTTTCAATAAGATCCTGGGGTTTTTTTTATATACATATATTTTATTTATTTATTTGTTTTTATTATGTAGCTTGCAAATGTTCCCAACTGGGTTAATTCCCCGCTGAGCTACATCCTATTCAAAAGGTCCAAATATATATTTGAGCTAACCTGAAACATACTAGGTTTGATATAGGTGGCAAACAGCAGCTGTCTCCTCTCCAGGACTGTTTATACAGAGCACCTAAACAAGTGGTGCGACCCAGGCTGCGCTGTGCTCCGATAAGAGTTGACAATAATTCATGCAGTTTAAAGATATCCTGATCTCACAGACAGTCATTTTTACTTCCAAGGCTGGCCCCGTGCGATCTGATTATCTTCCACTTGGAAATACAGAAGAGGC